GTCTTTGGAAAGCTGTAAGACATTACTGGAAGACGATGCCAAGATTACTGCTATCTTGAAATAAGCTAAAACCTGTTTCTGTGTTGAAAAAGTTACAACAGCATTTATTTTCCTATTTTTATGAAGCTTTTATTTTCACATTACTTTACAATCCACAAGAATCAATGTTTTGTACATATATACACACTTTGTAACATTCATCACCTTCAATGCTACCAGACTAACCCTTCCTTACAGCTGAACCTTTACAGATACCAGAGTTGTCAGGACTTGGCTCTCACACCTCCTGCCAACTAGCCAGGTATTAAGCAAAGCGTAGGCAATAAGCTTGCACCCCTGGATTTGTGCTCTGTCAGAATTCCTTGCCAAGATTCCCCTCTCCTTCCCAAATAAAGCATTACATACTTCCTCACACATACAAGCAAGCAAACAAAAATGAAGGAAAGTAAAGGTAGCACTCAGCTTTACCGTAGATTTTGTTTGGTTAGAAATGAAAACCGCTGTGGCAGTACTGAGCAACACAAGCTGTGGATTTCTTTCAAGCATTTACGTTTACCACTGTCAAACTTGGGTATTATTTTATAAAACATAGTTGATTCTTGCAGACATTTATTCTTAGATTATTTAAAGATCTTACATATCTGACTTCATTTTCTAAACCTCTGAGAGCAAAACCAAATTTACTTTGCCATTTTGCAGATACACACACAAGTTCTAGTTTCATGTAATTGTTATCTATACAAATTACTAGATCAAGCTTAAATTTTATTTGAATCCCTACTGATGAAAGCATTTCTTCTTCCAGACACGCCTCATAAAACCAAGCTCAGTACTAACTGCAATGTACAGGACAGATCTTTACTCCAATATACAGAAAAAAACACACCATTTTCAGCAGTACTTTATATACTTAGACAAGTTTTTATTATCTCACAAGTCATATGCATAGCATTTCACCACCTTCTAGCTTTCCTACACACGAACTTTAAAACAGCATTCTTTTCTGGTAGGATTTTTGGTCACAGTGTTTTAAAAAGCAAAGACTCTTTACTGTGTTGTAATCACGTGTCATTTAATAGAAGTCATTCTTGGTTGGATGCTTTGGGTGAAGTGCAGACTGTGTGACGCAGACCTGAGCCTGACAGCAATACTGGGTATACTTTACAATCAAAGCCCAAGGTAAGGGCTGCAGTGCTGAGCCAATTAATTCATGCCTGGCTGGCCATGGCCTCCATCCTCAGAAGCTTTCCTTAAAGATGGGGTTTAAAGGACACTATAACTAGAAGAGGCCTTTTTATTTTTTTATTGTTGACAACAGAGCTCAAGCTCCAGAAAAATAACACCTAGTGACTTTTCACATGGCAAGTAATTCTTCTTTGATTCACTGATTATACTTTCTGCTAGGTTTTTTTCTCTCACAAAAACAACTTTAGCCCCCCTCTTTGCGCGGTAGCAGTGAAATCAAGGTTGTGCACACTACTCAGGGTACCAGAAAGGTTTGTTACAGCTGTAAGGAAGCCAGAAGGATTTCAAAGGGAAACAACCATAAGTCTTACTTCTATCCTGCCCTTAGTTGCCTGCTGCCCTTGTTATCCCTACATCTGGCTACCAAGATCATTCAATTTGTTAGTATCAAATTAGTAGTTAGTTTATCTGTTCCTTGTCTTCCAAACTCAAGCCATCTAAGAAGGTCTCTGAGGTTTCTTTCCTCAGTCCTGCCTCACCCTATAGAAAGCCTCTGGGAGCTGCATTTTATCTGACCGTTGTCCGAATTGGCCCACGGTGACGATTTCCTTGGGCTGCCACGGCACTGGGGCAGTTTCAGAGGGACCCACAGGACTGGATTTCCCTCCCGGACATGTTTTCTGCTAACGCTTGGGAATCAATCCCGGCGCAGGGCCGCACTTGCAGGGTACCGAGCCCACTCTGCCCGATGCTCGTCCCTTGGCAGGGCTCTTGGGCAACGACCCCGAGGGCGCTCCCCGCGGGGGCACCGGGGGCTGTTGGAGCCGCGGCAGCCCCGCTCCGTCCC